AACTGGGCAGCTCTCTCTCTCATATAGATTCAGCATCTAGAAACTAACCAAACCGTTTCATTTTCCTGAAAATCCCTGGCAGGCTGAAATTATTATGATTTAAACAATTAGGAACAATTATCTGTTACTAAATTATTCTAGAAACCTTTAAGTAAGATCAATACAGTATTTACTTAATAAACCAAGAATTCAATCTTAGGAATAATACACTTTCTCTTGTGGTGGAGCTAGTGGTAGATCTCAATGACTTGGTAATAAACATTTTTTAGCAAAAACAAAAAGTGCCAAATGGCAACAACTGTAAAAAGAGAAATCAGTTCTACAGGCATTGTATGAATCCTTTAAGTTATTAACACTTTAATTAAACCAGTAACTAATTGACTGTACTTGCTTTACATTCAGGCAAATTCTAATTATCTCGTCAAGTGAAATATTTGATGATGTCATACAATGGCAGCCTACATGCACTTACTATCTAAATGACATAATAATAATAATTGTGTGAATTTACTAAAACATCCCTGAATATTTATGACATTGTGTATGAATTGAGACCTATGTACATGTACTAAAGTCAACTGTAATATTCTCAATCTCAGCATGCTGTTATAGTCCTAAGACTACTGCTATACTTTTTTTTTACTGTAGTAAATTCTGAAACTTAGTTTCATTTACATTGTATGTAACAACCCCAAATGTTCAAAATAAATTATTTCGATAAACTTTTGTTATTTGTTAATGTGGCTTATATTATATTTTTGTTAGTAGTCCTTTCCTGGATGTTTCAGGTCCCAGGTCTATTTAGCCCTCTTTTGGGAGGTTGCACCTTTTGAATTTTAGACATTTACTTCCCGAGAACTCCTTCAAGAAAAAGCGGATCATAAGATTGTTTTCTTTTTCTCTAAACAAAACAAGATCACAGTAATTCAGCAAAAAGGAAGCTAATTAAATATAGTAAATTGTTTATTTTCAATAGTAAGTTGTACAGGTAATGACTATACTTATCACATAAGTTAAACTTTTCTAGGTAAGCTAAATGCACCTTTTGCCCCCTTCAAATCTTAAACTGCAGGTAGTAACTTAAGATTTCTGAAACAATGATCTTGTAATTGCCCCTTATTAAGTAAATATGCATATGCATATTGAGATGTAAATATTTTGTTTTAAATAAAAATTATGATATTTTATCTCTACTGAACATTTGTCAAACCTACCAACAAAACTTAGAGGAAATAAGAGAGTTTAGAGACATTTTATAAACTGAACATGGGAATTATTTATATCTCAGAAAATGGACTTTCAACATTCTGGATTTAAAAAAGTAGGTAGACATCATTCTTCAATTACAAAAACAAACAATGTAGGAATGAGAGGAAAGTCTAGTAATAAAGAGGGATTTTTTTTTCTTTGATACTTAGAATTGATCTATATCAATATTGTTCTTTAAGCTATAAATTGAGCCTTTCGTCAGGTTGTTTTCCTTCTCTAACATGATACATCTTTTAACATCTTTGAAATGTGTATATATCACTTTGCAATTAAAACAGGTATTGACAAGACAAAGCCACTACCATCTTTGATCTTTTTCCGATAAATACATCTTTTTTTCATTTATCATGTAGATAAGCAAATATATATGAAATATTTTCCAAACCAATGTCATTTGTCTTCCAGTAATATAAAAAAAGATTTCTTTTTCTTTCTTTTCTATCTCTCTCTCTCTCTTTTTGGAACGACTACAGACAGATATAATGTTTATTTCACATTCCAAGCTTAACCGCATTTGGCATGCATTTTTTTTAATGTTAGAAATCAAAATATAAATAATTTATATTTAAAATACACATCTATTCATGCATAAAAGTATTTGCAGCAATTGATATTAAATAAGTACATGTTACATAATACTGTAAACCTCAGTTATAAGGAATTAAGTCACAAAGACCTTTAATTACTAAAATTCTTTATATCCGTAAAAAGAACAACGTGAAGAATCTTCTTCGGGATTTCGAAGGTTTCTTTTTATATACACTGAGATTTCCTTATAAGAGAGTTCTTTAAAACCGAGTTTTTCTGTACTTATTTGATGCATATATTTCATACAACTGGATATAGCATTGTTGTCCCTCGCTTTCAATGAAAGTGGGGGATATTAATTTAGGTCTGTGTGTCTGTCCGTCCATCTGAATTTCTGTCTGTCTGTAATAATTTCGTTTCAGCGCGATATCTCGAGAAGCCATTGAGCTTTCGAAATGAAATTTTACTTAGCAACTCTCTATGGCCTAAAGAATACCCCTATTGATTTTGAGGTCAAAGGTCAAGGTCATAAATTCTGTCTGTTTTAACACTTTCGTTTCCGCGCGATATCTCGGTATGCCTTAGAGCTTTTGCAATGAAACTTTACATAACAGCTCTGTTTCTGTTTGTTTTGAACATATTTTATTGTAATAATACATACAAAAGGATTGGATACAAGTTCTTTCAACATTATAAATCCTCTCCTTGTTATACAAACAATGAATACAATATGGTTGTCATGATAAATAAATTGAGATAATTAATTAAAATTTTTGTTGTACATGTAATATATATGAAAATTATAGAGACACATACTCTGAGTAATCTACCAGAGCCCTAATGTTACATATACACTGATTACAATGTTTCTGAACCAGAAGCTTTCATGTTTGCTAAAACATTTTAAATTTTCATTCTGCATATACATATTGAAATCAAAGACACTGTTTTGAATTAGAATCTATCTGATTCTCGAATAAATTTCTGGACACTACAGAAAATTTGAATATTTGCATCAGTAGACAAAGATTCGTTTCCACATAATAAAAAAAATGAGTGTCTATTATATTTTGCTGGTTAAGTTGAAGAATAGTGTTTATTAAGTTACTTCTTGGACGTTCATATTTCTTGCATACAAAGAAAAAATGATAAACGTCTTCAGTTTGGCCGCAAGTGCATCTGGGGGAAGAAATTATATTTCTCCGATATAAGTCGCTATTTAGGATACAATTATGTCTTAATTTAGTGTGAATTATATTCCTAAAACGTTCTCCATATGAAAAATAAGAAGGAGGTAAAGAAGGTGTACAAATACTTTTCTTAAATCGATTGATAGACTTTAATTTCCTCACTCCCAGATTGAGAGAATTCCAGTTGTTAATTACGTCTGGGACAAAGGATTTTTTTAAGAATTTAAGTCTACATTTCGGAATTGTGTAGTCTTCTGTATTATGAGTATTGTTTGATGAATTGTGTTTGAGTATTAAGAAAAATCTCTTTTAAGTAATCAGGGACAGTGTTATTATGTATTTTAAACATTGTAGTTAATTTAGCTTTCTTAGCTTTTAGCAACTCTGTGTGGCCTGAGGAAGACCCCTAAGTGATATTTTATACCATAATTCCCTATGGCCCGCCCCCTTTTATTTATTTTGGTCATTTTTTTTAAGAGTTACTCCCCGTTTGTATTAAAAGTCGCGTAGCACTATTTTTAGAACAGGTATTACATATAATACAGGTTGTCGGCGGACTAAATATTCTAATTACATCTATATTAAAACTGTTTAGTAAAGGCTAAATTAGACACCATGTGTTGTGTAAAATATTGACAATATCGAACGTGAATATATTCAGTACATATATATGCATTTGATTTGTATGAATGTCAAGCTCCTCGTTGGTCTAGGTGTACGATTCTCGCTTTGGATGCGAAAGGTCCCACGTTCGAATCCCAGACAACACCGTTTTCTTTTTTTTTTAAAAAAGGTTTTTTTTCCCATTTACTAAATGATAGTATTGAACTATTCAACATATGAAATGAAGAAGTAAAGACGTCTGGCGTGTTCGTACACGCCATAAAATCATTACCGCAGTGTGAAAAATATTTTTGTATAAAAAGAATCTTCTGTACACATTTTATAGAATAAGCAAATCATTATAACAGTGTGAAAAATATTTTTGTATAAAAAGAATCAGCTGTACACATTTTATGGAATAAGCAATCAAATCAAATCCATATTGGCATTTTTTAAAAAAAATTCCTTCAATGTATATATTTAATAAATCTGCAAATCAAGGGGGGGGGGGGAGGTGGGGGGGTCCGACCCCTCCCACTCTAGATCTGCGCATGCTCTTCTTTTTTCCTTAAGCGGAGGACACAAATTCTCTGAATAAGCTGTTATACTTTCAATGGTATTTGAAAAGTGGATGAACATTTTAACACAGTCTGTATGTATTAGAGAACACAAAATGATGATGGTCTTAAAAATACCTTTAGGGATGTGAAGGATGAGAGACATCCTATGTCGTGAGCCTGATACTCAAGTATATACCATTTATTTACTTAACTTAAAAAACTCAATTAAAAGACTAAAAAAATATTTTTTCATGTAACTACACTAAGAACCCAACTCATATATAAACGACTGTGTATGTCTGCTGATCACATATTACAAATCTGAGAAAACACACTGATAGGTCTTTGAGAAAAAACAAAATTTAAACACTTTTTAATATTGTTGGGAATATGATATTTTTTAGCCTTAGGCTCATTTATGGAACAATTTCAGGCAAAGAGGGTCTACGGGGATCCGAAGTGTGTATAAATAGCACAAATTACAGTAATGTAGAATTTCATCATTGTCAACTTAATAATTGATTGCATCCTGATCTAAACCTATGGTGGGTCTTGAATTTTTTTCAAAAATTGTTTTAAAAATTACTCGTATTCTGTATTTAAAAAAAAAACATGCACACACACAGGACTGGTATTGATGCCCGCTCAAAAATAAATAAATAAATAAATAGATAAAATAGACCAATAAAGAAAATCGACGCACCTGTACAGCCGTTTATATATTGTATGCTTCGCAACATAATGTAAATTCTGCGTTTACATGTACCTCCGCCCAGTAACTGATAAGAAGTTTTTTTTTATATGTCACTGTACACAACAATATCAGCCCATACCTTCTCTTTTGTTTTAGACATTGACAAGATTCTTAGGAACGTTTGATAAAGTTGGATTAGCTGTACGTGGTATCATGAAGTCCTTTTCCTGGTATCGAATTGGAATAATTGCTCAAAAACATACGGACAAAATCTGGATATACACAAGAGACGCGATTGAAAGCATGACGTCTGCTGATGGAATGAACGTTGCCATTTCTAAAACGTTAAACGAGACCAGGGACCTGTATGAAACATTAGAGCAAGTTGCATTAACATCTAGAAGTGAGAATATTAAGCTAGCTATATGTTTGAAAAAAAATATCAAAACAAAGTTCTAGTACTGTCATCAAAAATTATTTAATTAAAGTGTCTCAGATTAGTATAAATTCTAACATCACAAAATAACACCTTAAAAAATAATCCATATTTAACAGGGTCCTAGGCTTACCTCAGAGAAGGTTGCTTACTTTCTTTCAGTTATTGTGTTGGCTGTTAGAGGGGAGACACTGAGGAAGCTTATGATCTACGCCTATGATATGGGTCTGATTCAACAGAAATATATGTTTATCTGTGTGTACTATTACTCCCATAAGAACACATTTGGTGACATTTCTTGGAAGCAGGTTAGCATTTGTGTTGTACCCATTGTCATATTAGACAAGAGGCGGTGATTTTATTTCAGGAGAATGCTAATTAAGATGAAGGTTCTTAGTAATTTTACAATGTCGAATGAAGACGATAGAGATCAAAGTTAAAATGTAAGAAAGATTTAATATATCACACGGTGGTGTCAAAATTTGAGACGACCCACTGTTGAAAATTATTGAACATATATCAAACAGACTCATGTCTCTGATCAGCAGGTTTTACCCTCTTAAGGACCTTATTCACATTATATTGCACCTTAATGTACAGTTTTTTTTATAAAGAGCTGTTCAAATACTTTTAGAATGATTCTGACGACGAAAAGGCTAAAATAGCGTACCGGTCAATATTGTTTATCTCGTATTTTACACCAAATACGAACGAGTACAGGAACTTTACCAACAGGGTCAGGATCAAGTCACAGGAATTGTTTAATTACACCTATAAACCTGATGAAGAGGTAGGTGCCATGTATTTGCGATCTTCTATTCTTTTTCATCCTGAAAAGGATACCTTTTGAATGATATTATATAATTTTTTTAGTAGACATATTTCATACAACCTCCCTCCTCCCCTCCGTTCCAAAAATATGTCTGATTTGTATGCTAATTTCAACCTTGCAATAATGCATTGCAAAAATCACAAAACTATTACTTCTAACATACTATTTTAAAGGTTCCCTATCCAGCCTCTAATCTTTATGAAGCTATGTACATGTATGCTCTCTCTGTCAACATGACGTCATTTGAAGGAAAAGATCCATTTGATGGTCAATTGATTGCCTCAAGAATCTGGGGGAGTACGTTTACAAGTAAGTATGTCCTTTTAATAAAACCAATTGATTTTTAACAACACAGAAACAAATATTTTCTTGACCAGGTCACCTTCATGACAATGAAAATTGGATCTTGACCATAAATTTTAGCGGACCTTAGACGCTCCTTTAGACAAAAATTAGTTGTTCCTTGCAGTTTTCGTCAAAAAAGGCCAAAAGGTTAAAAAAAAAATTGATAACACATGTATATATAATTATTCAAACATGCACTGTTTTCAGTGTTCTCCACCGTTGTTCCGTAGAGATAACTATAATTTGGTCAAAATTGTCTCCGTTTCAGTGGGGCACAAAGGGGGTTGGAGTAATAGTATGTTTCACAAACACAATTTGGTTGTCTATGCTGTAAAAGCAAAATTCAGCAGGCTTGTTGCACTGTTACACATTGTGTATTATAATGTGTAATTTTATGAATTTTCGTTTGATTGATAGGCGTAACAGGGAATATTTCACTCAATGCGAATGGTGACAGACAACAGGGATACAAGATAGAACAGATCCAAACTACACCTGACTTTCAATTAATGGTTGGTAGGCACCTTTTTTTCATAAATCCGAAGATTTTTAGTATAAAAATCAGCAAGTTTCACTAACAATTCCGATTATTGGATTTTTTTTTCGTAGCATAACACTTATTCTTGTTTTCTAAAGTAATGCAACCCACAGAATTTTATCTTGATACAGTATGTGTACATGTGTATTAATAGCCATTCTCTGTAACCACTTAAACTTTTGTGGCACGCATAGTCACATATTTTTTTCAAATTTGGCTAGAATTTACCACCTCATAAACTACTCCAAAAAATATTGTTAGATCATATGAATGTTGAGCAGTTACCATGAAAACGGTGTCTAAAGTTGATTTTTTCTGAAAAAATGCAATTTTTGGGAATGTTATTCAATGAAATGCGGCTACTTCATTTCATGTTACTCACAGAAATAAAAAGTATGACATCTGATTTTAAAAGTCATTTAAAAACATTGTTGGTATTCAATCTATAAATATGAGAAATCTATGATTAATATAGCAGACATTCATTTAAAAATTGAATTATCTCCCTTTGATAATTGAGAGCAGCTCTTTAGTATGAGAGATAAAAAAATCATTGGACAAAACTGACTGGAAGTTGTTTACATTGTCAACATATATCCTGGATTTCAAGTAAAATCAAGTGTTTTTTTTTTCTGTTTATTTAATGTGCATACAATGTTAACCTCTTTGTTTATTTCCTGGATGCAAAAGGGTAATTTTTATGTGTGAACAATGGGGAAATGTACAAGACCACATGGTACAAGAAACATTCATGAATTATTGAAGCCTAAGCCTCAAGGTCTTAGGAGTTTCAAAATGGGGATAAAAAGATAAACTTAAGATATAAGAATGATATTGAATTGGTTGTAAGAAGAGGTACAGTGTCTCAGTCAGAGTACATGATATATTACAATGAATAACAGCCAGGAAAGCCAGTGTTTCTTTTTAAAAACGAATGTGGACAATTTTTTTTTATAATGTTAGAAAAGTAGGCTATTGATTTTACCTAAATATTTAAAGTCTAGCTACATTTACATGATCGTACAAAACTGGAAGTTGAAAGTCAGATAAAAAATAGGCTTGGCAACAACAAAGTACAGGTGTATCAAGTTTACATTGAATGATGTGATGTAAGTTGATAATGTTGCTGAAGCAAGAATTTTCTTTAAGGGAAACGTCTTTACCCAATAAAAAAAAATAGAAAAAAATTGTTAAGGCCAATAATAAAAATGTTTTGTTTGATTCCTATCGACCAGTCAAAATTATACTTTTTTTTGGGGGGGGGGGGGGGTTTGCACAGAAATACAAATTGTGTGAATCATATTTAAAGTTAACGGTTTATCATATCTCTAGACTAAGATACATTTAGATTGAACCTTGTAGCAGTAAAATTAATATTAAATCAGTCTAGCTGTATTTTATTAAGAATGAAAACATTAATAAATTTCTGACACCCCCTCCCTTTTTACCAAAAGAAAAAATCTAAAAATTAAACAAAAAACAAATCTATACCTCTGAATGGGGGCGGGAAGGGGTTAATCACTTATGAATGAACCACTTCCTTTAATATTTATAAATAACGCTTCTTAACGTTTTACAAGGTATCCATGTTTTTTTTTTTAATACAAATGCCTATTACCAATTGATGTGGGTAAGTGCTTTTACATGGTTCCTGGAAGGGGTGGAATAAGTCCTGGTCATTGGTTACTTACTAAATTCATTTTAAAAAAATGAAAACCGTAGAAAAAAGGCAGGGACAGATTATTTATTTTCAACATTTTCAAGGATTAAACTTTAGAAATTATGTTTACATTACACACCATAAGGTGTACGATCCCATCAAGCTTACCAACTAACTCAAATGTAGCAACCGACATAAATTCAAGAAAGCACAAAAACAGATTATCCGAACAGGTACAACAGATTTTTACAACAGATAATTATTGATTAAATTTTGGGAAATAGCAGATCTATTATGTGTAAACCCATGCATATTTTGGTTGAAATATTTATCATCAATGTCTCTAAATTTTCAAGTTTTTAAGAATAATATTGCAAAGTAAAATGGATTTAGGCTTTTTCTGTCAATTTCTCTGAAAAAAGTCACAGGAAAACATTTTTGACATTGACCTTTTGACCTCGAAATCAATAGGGGTCCTTTTTAGTTCATAGGAAGTTGTGCTTTAAAATTTCGATGCAAAAGCTTGAAGGCTTCTCGAGATTGCACAGAAATAAAGTGTTTAAACAGAATTTATGTATTCATGACCTTGACCGTTGACCTTAAAATCGACGGGAGTCTTCCCTAGGCCACAGGGATTTTTTATGCAAAATTTCATTGCAAAGGCTCAAAGGCTTCTTGAGACATCAGGTCGAAACAAAAGTGTTGCAGGAAGACAGACTGATGGACAGTCAGACAGACCCAAATCAATATTCCCCACTTTCAATGAAAACGGGGGACAAAAAGGCAATTTTTATATACCATTGTGACCTTGAAATTTGACCTTCTGTCCGTATTTACCAATTCATGTGATGCCACATGTAGTTATTGTCTACCAGAACTGTAATTTTGTTTATTTATGTTGTTTAAAACAAAAGTATTAGTTAGGACACAGAAAAAAATGTGCTTAGTTTCCTTAAATTTCCATCTAAATCGAGCTATTTTGACCTTAGCCTTTGTCCTTTTGTCATGAAAATTGATTTTTTTCTTTTTTTTTGGTATTGTGTACCACATGACTAAATTTGGTTTTAATCCATTTTAAAATACTCAGGTATTTAAATGGAAACTGATTGTAGATACTTATTGCCCTTGTCTGGAATTATTTTAAAAAGCTTAAGTTTGTAACCATGGTAACATGAAAACAAAATATGAATACCAAGTGTTTCTCTGCAGTTTATATTAGAACTATATATGGACTTTCAAACCAATGTATTTATTTTTTCCCAAATGTCCGCAAAATTTTATACCAGGCTTTTCAAAAGAGCCTAAAATCTACAATTTTTTCCCAGAAAAATCCTGCATAAAAACGGGCGATATTTTTTCTATTAGGTAAAGTTACTCAAATACTAGAAATTATCTAAAGAACTACAAAAATGATGTATTTTGGCAAAAAGATGAAGTCATGTAAATATCTTGTTGTATTTAAGACTTTTAATTTGTCATAAATGGTCATTTTTCATCAAAATTTAGCCCTTTTTAGGCCATGAAAAATGTATGTTGGTTGCCATGGTAACCATTGACCATAGCAACCATTTTATTATGAATTTTAGTTTCATACATAAATATAGGTTTGTGTGCCAAGTTTCAGAAAAATCTAAGACATAGCGTGCCACACTCCCTATATACATGTAAGAGTTTAAATGCTTACAGAGAATGGCTATTAATACACAAATTGTACATGTATTTTAAGATGCCAGCTGGATTTTCCTAGCGCAATATTTTGCTCAGGAAAAAAATTTAGCGTGTAACTATAACATTTTTAAAAGGACAGTTAGGTCAATACAAGCTCACATCTCATAATATAAATTTATAATAGTGCGCTGGGGATAAAATGTTTTAAATGTTATTTATATAATTCGATTTGCAAATATCGAAAATCGAGTTCAGTTGGGGGAGGCAAAACTTCCAATTTTCATAATGGCACCGGTTCTGACGTTTTCCTTGCATGTCAAATATCAAAATCGTGAAAAACGCCAGGAAAACGTCATTTTTTCATAAAATTGCTAAATTTGACCATGTGAAAATCTTTATCACATGACCTCTTGAATACGCGTAGTATGATCACTTAGATGTCTAATTCAATGTGTAAACCGCCGAAATATGGCTGAAATATTGCCGACTCGGCGTAAAACAATATTAATCAATCAATCAATGAGTAAACGGTTGCAGAGTAATAAATGACCATAGTGAGTCTTCCCCCTTCGGTTTTCGGTTTGGATTTTATATACATTGACATAATTAAATATTTATTGTATGCTTTAGGGACCTTTAAACTTTTATAAATTTTATGAAGTATTTTTAGGATTTGTATTTCATTTGAAATTAAATTTGCGTGATATTAATGAAATTACATCACTATAAAATCAAATAAGATGGATTTGAGTTCTAATACACTTTAAATCAAATTCTGACTGTCATGCATATTTTAGCAAAGGCACCGGATGCATGGATTGGGCTTAACCCCCCCCCCCCTTTTTTTAAATTTATGACCGGAAAAATTGCATGAAAATGTGTGCATCCCCTGCTCATCACACCCATACATCAATTCATACAATTATTTTTTCATTTTGGTCGTGTTTTAAAAATTATTTATTTAAAGATATTTTATTAAACTGGGTTTGGACGATTGGATGTTTGAATACACGTATAAAAAATACGTAAAATTAAAAAATATATATACTGCATTGCAATTGTCACTTATTTGACTAAACTATTTTGCACTAAAGTCGGAGATGGCTAATTGTCAATTTTAGTGTGTAGATCTGTTTTGTCGCAATTTCATTTTTACACTTTATACGTTGAAACACAGAGCGTCCATGTATGCATCAGTCATTACTTGATTGAGATAAGATATTTGAATATGAATTAAAAAAAATAACAAAAATAATTCATTTGTTAACTTCAACACATGTACAAACCAATAAGTTGTTTGTTGTTCCACACAAATTGAAAATAAGAATACCATGTTTTAATGCGTGGGGCGAAACATACTGGTAATTTTGAATCAGCATGTGCCATTCAACTTTTTAAATAAGTAACAAAAACTCAAGGATAATCACCATGAAATCTTTTAATTACTTAATTGGACAGCGAGTAGACATAGTCAAAATGCACCCCTGAATCATTGACAAGATATATGCATTCATTTTCACATGGTTCCTTGCTAAACATACTCGCGGCATACTTATTCCAAACAAGAGTATTGTTTTGTCTGCATAAAATGAGAATATCAGTACCTAACAATGCAGCAGTAGACAGAATTTCCGCCTCCGTCGCCC